ACTTCGCCTCGGTGCACTCGTCATCAACTATCTTCTAATGAATGTGTCATGAACTTGTGAGGGCATGTGAGATGTTGGTGAACTATCTTCTAGGGCAAGCTGCCATTTGTCATTTATAATGAATGTGTCGTGAACCATGTCGTAGTAATGTTTGAATTGTCTTAAGTTATGAACTCATCGACATAAAATTTGTGTTTTTTCAAATTGCTATGATGCTGCAGTCATTGTAAGTATTATGAATTGTCGGTGGTGCAAGCCAACTGTGGCTCTCCGGATAGCCATGGCAGTAAAGCAGCGCCTAAGGGCAGGGCGCTGCACTGTTCAGTGCAGCGCCTAACTATTGGGCGCCACACAGTACAGTGGAGCGCCTAACTGTTGGGTGCTGCAGTGCTGCTATAAGCTAAACTGCAGAAACAGATGCCATTTTGGCCTCCTGCAGCAGCACTCACATAACTTGAACATCACTAAAAGTACTGTAAACTGCACATACTAAACAAAGAGAACTAATAACTTGAACATCATATCATTTAAGACAATTCAACATTGCTTCAAGTTCGCAAACACAAATACCACACTAGTAAGAGTTCACCAACATATAACATAACCTCACAAGTTCATCAACCTAATGAAACGGCTACAATTAACATGAACAAGCACTAATGCCTTCCGCGCGTGTTCCTGGTGCCACGCCTGCAGGCAATCTTCTTCTTCCTGGAAGGACGAGCCTCCTCTTAGTGCACTTCCTCCTCCGCCTCCGCCTCCGCCTCCGCGTCATCATCCAAGCTAGCCATCCGCGAGGTCCCTACGACCACCTTAGGGTTGCCTCTATTGTCATAGTCGTTGGGCGTGTACTGGCGTCTGGGCTACCTAGACTTGAAGACATATGCGGACCGAGCTTGAGCGTCCGCCAAAATCATGTCATCATCAAGCTCATGGCCCTATCACACAATGAAACAATATGGTGAAGGCTAGTGTCGTAATCAAGTGAGAATCACATCTAAAGGATTACTCATACCTCTTGGGTGATCGCACCCTCATCATCCATATAAGCATATGAGGAACTCACATCGTCCCCCTGATGGTGAGATGCGGGGTCTGATGGTGTACCAGACCTAGAGGCAGATGGTTCATCATATTCAGGATCACGGCAACCAAGAAGGTTCGATAACCGCCTTAACTTCTTGGCCTAACGCTGTAACATGAACAAGTGTGTAAGATATCAAACTTTGCAACATAGACTGTCTCTCATAGTGAATGTGATATGTACCTTGAGGAATGCTCGTAGTGAACCATCATCATTGCCATTTCCAACTGGTGTCTTCTCCAGAATAGACTGGCTCTCATCAGCTGCTTTCTTGATCTCGGTGCGCTGCAGATGAGAAAAATGAATGTGTTAGCCATTCAAACATGTGTAATACGGTCAACGGGAAAGTAAAGAAGGGAACACTTTACCACATAGTTAATCACCGGAATAGCAGGGACTCCTTGCCCTTGCCTGACATCTCTGTTGTACTTCCCCTTTGCTAGATCCTCAAAGTTTACGGGTTCTTCAAGAATATCCTCATTATATGCCAGCGGGCATATCTCAACTTGAGTAGTTCCAATAAACCATCGTACGTAGTTATCAAAAGCAAGTGGGTTGTGCTCACGAAGCGGAGCACGTGCAGTGCTACGAGCTTGCTCCACAGAAAGCTGGAAGCGGGTAACATACGAAGCATGATGCTTGTCCCAGTCCTTTATCTTCTGCTGCCTTCTCCTGTCCAACCTGCATGGTATAAAACCAAACATTAGCACAATCAAAAGGAGTCCCGATGCTTAGACAATACGCAGACATGCTCTCTTACCTATGAAGTGCTTTGTCCGTGTCCACCCAATATGGCGGGTGAGGCTGGAACAGACCAAACTGACGATACACGCGATGCGGCAAATGAAACTCAACCGCCCAGTTGCATATCAGTGGGCACCGCATAAGCCATAGATCCTTATCCCGCAAGCACATCGGGTTGAGGCGGAACTCCTCGGTGTACCCCAAGCTCTCACCCGCGCCATATGGCTATCATACCACCTATGAAACAGGGCAACAATGCAAATTTGATCACTATTTTTCAAGCAAGCATGAGAAAGGACTGAAGTAATGACCTCCTTACCTGCTCAGGCGTAATCGTGTCCAACTTGGCAATGTACTTTTGGTACATGAGATTGACATCGTTCGGCATCTCGGAAACGATATCCCACTTGTAAGCCCACGTGGGGCGTCGTAATTCGTCATGTTCACCTGCATACCAAGGATCAAAACTGACGTTCTTCGGGCGTCCAACAGGCAGACGCTCCCAGCTCCATACAGAAAGTAGAAGAAGATTACCACCAATGCCTGCACTATCTATGATCCTGCAACACGCATCGTCCAGCTACATATGAAAGAAAAACAATGTTAACTTGACAGCAAGCTTGCATTGCTAATGAAGAAATGAGTTGATCACAAAATAGACCAACTACCTATCGGTACAAGTAGGCAAGAGTTGCTGAACCCCAGCTCCATTTGCTATCGAAGACGGTCAACACCTTCAGCCACATCCATGGAGCGTTCTTGCCAGTGGAGTCAGGAAACAAAGTCCTCGACACAACGTACCACATATACACACGAGCATGTGTCTGGATCACATCATCAATGGCATCCGGAGGGCACGTTGCAAAGTTATTTTGAATCCACGTGAAAGCAGCTCCGGCTGCTTTCCTTTCCCTCTTCTTCTTCTCTTCTCCCTCCTCTACATCCGCCTCAGCCTCGGTAGGAGCCATACCGATAAGAGCAATCATCTGCTCGCGCCACCCATCATAATCGGTGCTCATACAGAGAGGCCTCCCGTCGATAGCAAGACCGGTGATCAACGAGACATCCTTGAGCGTCACGGTCATCTCCCCAGTCCGAAGATGGAAATTGTGCGTCTCCGGCCTCCACTGATCAACAAGAGCAGACACCAGTGGAGCGTTCAGATTCGGCGTGGACCGGCTAACCAACAGAATCCACGGGAGTAGTCCTTCCTGCTTGATGTACGGTGTATACCGCTCATCGTAAGGCATGGCAGGACAAGAGACCCCATGATACCGAATCTTGAGAGGTTCAAGCTTCTGCAAAAAAAAGTAATGACAAATCTTAGGGCATGTAAGTTTCAACTAAAGGCAAATTTGCAAAATATTTAGATTACTAGTTATTACCTTCTCCTTCTCGCGCATCATGTAGGCCCGGTGTTGCACGTCGTAGACATCGTCCAGAAGGCAAACCATCCTTACAAATTTCAAACAATAAACATATATGAGTTCATCTCAAATATCGGTAAACACTCAACATTTCATATGTGTTCATCTAAACATCTCATATGTATTCATCTACAAGAATCTCAACATCTCCTTCTCACACAATGAATAAATGATTGTAAATTCTCATATATATCTCGTATGACATATGTGTTCAAATAAATCAACATCTCATATTTCAAATAAACTCAACATCTAATATATATATATATATATATATATATATATATATATATATATATATATATATAAACTCAACATCTCACATATAGCTACAAAACTCAACATCTCATAATTATCTACAAAACTAGGCATCTCATATATATCTAAAAAAATAAACAATCTAGGTTTCACTAACAAGAATCATATACTACCGAATATGACTACACATCCTCCATCACAACACACAATCTTGGACAAACAAAGATCCAAACCAAGCAAATCTAAGGTTCCACCTAATCTTGGGCAAATCCCTAAAATTGCAACGATTTTACGGAGGAAAAGAAAGGGAACGGAGGAGTTTACATACTAGGAGGGATTGGAGATCGAATCCAGGCCTCAAAACTTCAGATCTGAGAGGGGTGTGGGGGGGATCCGAAGGAAGCCCCGCCGCCACTCTCTGTACAGAGAGCAACTTCTCAGAGGTGGAAGAACTGCCTGGGAGGGGCTGGCCCGAGGCGGCCTAAGTCAACGTGCAGCGCCTAAGACATGAGCGCTGTACTATACACAGTGCGGCGCCCTAGCCTTAGGCGCTGCACTGCTGTCTGTGGGGCCGCAACTGGACCAGGGCTGCCACGCTGGCTGGATCTGCGACGCCTGGGGGAAGGACGCTGCACTGTAGGGTGCGGCGCCTAGATGTCGGGCGCCACACTAAAGGGTCAACAGAGCGATTTTTTTTTTTGAAAGCAGGTCAGTTTGTGATTTGATTTCGGCCTCAGGTCAAATATGTGATTTCTGCCCTGGGGCGCCACCGGGTGGCGCCTCCTGAGGTGTTATGGTGTGCTACTAAATGGGCCACCATACCTGTTACGCACATAAGCTTGACAGTAATGATTGGCCATCAGTAACAAATTATAATGTATCGGCTGTAGGAGTGAAGGGGAGGATATTAATCACGGTGATGAACACATACGAACACATAGGTACCATGTTGATGTGTAGATGATCAGAAGTACATCAAGGGACTGAGGTAGAAGGTTCAATATACAAAAGCATGATATACATGGATTATATTTATAAGCGATAGGCGCGATCGTTGACGATACGCCTTGTCTTGCGTCTGAAGTAGAAGGCCCAGATGTCACCCTCATGTATGTTTGTGATGACGGAACTGATCAGTTCATTGTGATGGTGGCCCTCTTGTCATTCCCTATGATGGCCAGACATGACGGAGCTCGCCGTCTGCAAGCTTGATTGGCAATGCATCATGTTCTAGGTTAATGCACTCCTGGAGGTACTTCTCTGTGTAGTGAACCTGAAAGTAGTATGAAAATGACGTCCATGACAATTTGATTTTAGATAGAACATCCTCGGTAAGAAATGTATCCGTATAAAAATTCCTCATGAATGAGATCAGAAAATAAAATCCATCACACATGCGCCTCTCCTGCGAAGCTAGCTGCGACTCCGTCGTCGCCGCCGCCGCCGCGGCTGCGGCCTAGCTCACCCCCCGAGCTCCATCCGTGACCATGGCCTCCTCTCCACCCACCACCCTCACCCCCCCAGATCCCTCCCTGGCCACCGACCCCCCCATTCCTGCCCTCCGTCCGAACTCCCCTGCAGATCCAGATCCAAGACTGCTGGTTGCCGGTGCTACTGTTGGTGACGGGGCTTCTCTCTCGCGCTCCGAGGGATGCCATGGGCTCCTCCCTCCACTCAAGTTGCTGCCCCCTTCAGATCGACTCCCCCCGAACTTCAGGCCACAAATCGTGTCTGATGCATCGCAGGCTCCGGCGGAGAAGGGGTGGGTGGAGGTCGGGGGCCGGCATCGCCCGAGGTTGGAGAAGCCATCTGCCCTGCCCCGTAAGAAGAAGGACGACCACTCCCTCGCATTCAAGCAGAGATCTTACGGACTCTGCTTCCGTTGCTTGGCGGAGGACCACTTTGTCGCCGATTGCCGAGGCCCTGTCACCTGCCTGGGTTGCGGCCACTCTAGCCATCGCAAGCGTGACTGTCTGGGCCGCCTTCCTGCCAGTCAAGGTCGCCTCCGCCGCTCCATGTTGCCGCCATATGCTCCTGGACTCCCCAACCATGAGCCCCCAACTTCTTCACAACAGTTGCAGCAGCGCTCGTGGGCCGCCGTGGTTGCTTCTCCGATGGGGCTCGTTCAGGAGGCCCTTTGTAGCAACTCCGGTGTCTCTTGGTCAGGTCTGTCCGATCCCGGCAAGACTACCTTTGCTGTTGATCTGGGGCTGCTACAACCCCTTTTTGCAGCACAGACCAAGACGTTGCGCGCTGAACTGCAGGCCCTGGTTACCGCCCGTGTGGAGGAGGTCGTTCAACCTCTCCGCGACATGGCGGTCACTTTGCAGGGATGGGCGGCTTGGGTCTCAGGCCTCTTGGAGCGGCTGGAGGTTATTAGTGACAGAGTTGTTGCTTCGCCAGCCATCATCTCTTCCTTGGCGCCGATGGGTCCACCTCCTCCCTAGTGTGACCATGAGGAATCGTTGCCTCCTGCTGTTGCTTGCGGTAAGGATACCAGTGATGCGGGTGTGGCCGGTTGCTCATCCGAGGTACTGGCTACTGTGGCTCTACCTGTAGATGTTCCTCCTCCTTCGGATCTAGCTCTGCACAGGATGGTGACTCAAGGTGAGGAGGCACAAGCTAAGGTTGCTGAGAAAGTCAGAGGGACCGATGATATGGAGCGGACTGAGGTGTCCTTACCCGTTGGCTTGGTTGGAGAGGTGCCGCCCTTGGTCTCCTCTCCAGGGATGACTGCCTCAGAGGGTAGTAGAATTTAGGATATTATATTACTCTATCTTTCTTTATATGGAATAGAGTACCGGTATTTTACCGGAATTTCAATACCCATATGATGTCTTCCGGGTACGAGGAGCTACTCGGTGACATTGGAGTGCCTTCAACCACCTTATTGGATGAGCTCCTAAGCAGTTTCAGTTGCACAGCGCCACGGTCCTTGCTCGTAGAACCGATTCAATTGCACATTGAAGGGGTATCTACTTGTTCCGGAAGGCGTAGTGACCGTTTGGATAAAAAGAACAAAAACTGCAACATTCCTACTGCCAAACGCGCTGAATATAGGTTGGCAGAGGCTTATGGGGAACTACTGAAGGGAATGACGTCTAAGAAAGCCATCAAGGAGGAGGTGCAAGAGAAGATGAAGCCTTATCTACAGATGTATAAGAAACCGATTACGCCAACGGCGGTCCAGGCAATCCGTGCCTTGGTGGAAGTCAATGTTTGATCTCAATTTTCAGAAGGTTAGGCCCAAGTACACAGCTAGTTGCAGGCGTGTTCTTGAGGTTGCAGAGGTTGACTTGGTTGGGTATGTTGTGTTGTCGATGGTCTTGGGCTTAGGCACCCTTGTATCTGGCTCGGACGACGTCCCTTGAGTGCTAGCCCGGTCTTTGTGGTCTTCGCCGGTTTCCCTTATGTAACTGTGCCATGTGTGGTTTTTGGGTCCGGTTTTATCCATTAACTGGACCAATTCTCTTCTTCTTAATGCAATGCGGGAGCTCCCCGCCCTCTGACGAGGTTCCGTCAAAAAGAGATCAAAAAATATATGTAAGATTTGTTAAAAAAACAAAGGACTCTAAGAGAAGTGATGCACCTACTGTACTATTCAGGAAAGCTGTCGTTTGAAGAACCTAGAGCTGGATTTATTGAAGACAAAATAATCATGAGGGATGCATAGCAAAGAAAATAATTTCTTACAAGAATAACAAAGAAGAAAACAAATAGTTTGCTATCTGTGAAATAACAGTCCAGTTAATGTGTTAAGTAAAGATATCATAAAGGTGCCAGGCATGTTTTCAACCTGTGTGCGCACTTATATTGCTGTAGTGCCCCGATGCGTCTATGCATTTTCACACGGGTTCACACACATTCATTCCACAGATAGCAAACTACCTCATGTTAGCATCAAGTTCATTGTTTTCTTCTGTAAAGGAGATGAAAGCTTTGGCCTAATTAACAAAAGAAAGCTTTACTAAGCAAGACAGAAAAATAAAATAAGATGATGACATAAAATGAACCCTCATTTTTCAGATTTTTTGTCAAAAAGACTACCTACCCAACAAAAATGACAAAAAAGATTACCTTCAAATGAAATTGACAAAAAAGACACCCCAACCCTGGCGGCAGGCGGCGGCAGCCGCGTAACATGCATCCAGCGCCAAATACGGAACGGGGGATTGCATGTGCTGCTTGCCGCCTGCGGTGTGGCGGCAACACTGTTTGCACGCACCCTTTGCATGCTGCTACGTTTCGTTTAGTCTACCTTTTGTTTCGTCTATGTTTTATTTTATCTGCATTTCGTTTCGTCTGATGAATAATGCCACAAATTTGTATACCTTGCTATTGATTCCTTGACATGCATCACACTGTTTTTGTAAATAATAATTGTTTATTTACAAATAATAATATGAGCCTCCGTCACGGGCCTCATCATCGGCCTCCTCGCACCGGGTGATTCACCGGTGGACCTTCACCGTCGCGGATCTCATCATCGGCCACCTCGCGGCGGCCTCATCTCCCGACGGACCTGCTCCGCCGCAGGCCTCATCGCCCGACGGACCTTCGCCACTGCAGGCCTCATCGTCGGCCTCCTCGCGCTGACATCATCGCCCGACGGACCTGCTCCGTCGCGGGCCTCATCGTCGACGATCATCCTCGCGTCGGCCTCATCGCGTGGCGGACCTTCGCCGCTGCAGGCCTCATCATCGGCCTCCTCGCGCCGACATCATCGCCCGGCGGGCCTGCTCCGTCGCAGGCCTCATCGTCGGCCTCCTCATGCCGACCTTAACGCCCGTCTGCCTCCTCGCGTACCTTCGCCGCCGCATGCCTCATCGTTGGCCTCCTCCCGCCGACATCATCGCGCGGGCCTCAGGCCGACAGTGAGGCCCACAACGGAGCAGGTCAGTCGGGCGATGATGTTGATGCGAGGAGGCCGGCGATGAGGCTTGCGGTGACGAAGGTCCGTCGGGCGATGATGTCGGCGCGAGGAGACCGACGATGAGGCCTGCAGTGACAAAGGTCCGTCGGGCGATGAGGCCGACGATGAGGCCCGCAGGGGAGCAGGCCCGCCGGGAGATGAGGCCGCCGCGAGGAGGTCGATGATGAGACCCACGACGATGAAGGTCCACCGGTGAATCGCCCGGTGCGAGGAGGCTGACGATGAGGCCCATGATGGAGGCTCGTATTATTATTTGTTAATAAACAATTATTATTTAAAAAACAGTGTGTTGCATGTCAAGGAATCAACAATAGGGTATACGAATTTGTGGCATTATTCGTCAGACGAAACAAAACGCAGACAAAATAAAATGCAGACGAAGCAAAACGTAGACTAAACGAAACGTAGCAGCATGCAATACATGCAAACAGTACTGCCGCCACGCGGCTAGGCGGCAAGCAGCACATACAATCGCCCCTTCCGTCTTGGGCGTTGGCTGCCTGTTACGCGGCTGCTGCCGCCTGGGCATGTGGCAGCAGGTGCCACGTGTCGGCTGGCACGCCTGCCACCACGACTGGGGTGGTCTCTTTTGTCAATTTTATCTGAAGGTAGTCTTTTTTGTCATTTTCGTTGGGCAGGTAGTTTTTTTGACAAAAAATCCATTTTCCATGCTAGCCATGCAAGCCCTACTGGTCCAGTCCCTGAGCATCGGGGCAGAGTCAGCACATCGCGCTCGGCCCACCAGCAGCTGCGCACCACCAAAGGAAGTCACATGTAAATGCACAGGCAAGAACATACAGGGGAGGGACGCTGACCTTGGGTCGATTTCCTCCTATGGCAACGCCCTTCAATCTTTTCTATGCACATTACGGTGACTGGTTGGGTCCCTAATCTCAGCTTGGTTATTATGCACATTGGCATGTGTCTGGTACATTGGGTCATGTATGACATCATTATCATAGTTCAGTAGGCAAAATCGATTTTGCTGACTGAATTATATGAAATTATCATATGTTAGCGACTCAAAACCATTAGTTGAGAACAGAAGATGTCATTACAAGTAGGGGAACAACTAATCAAGATGAGTATGTGGCAAAGCACTTGAGGTTGCGATCGACTCAAGGTCGTTGTGCCTTCACTTCGAGGACGATGCCAAACCCCCAACACCCCCAGGCCAACATCGAGAACGCCTAAATGTTTAGACTTCAGCTTCATATATTGAGAGAAAAAGGACCTGAGTTCTACTTTTCGTGGATGCTGAGGGGAGTATGCATCTACTACCACTATAAAAGCATGAGAGGGCAGATCCAACTCACCATCTTAGCCATCTAATTACATCATCGATGGTCAAAAATCATCGTTAACGAAATTGAACGCTTACGAAACGTAATCCCCTCGCTAATGAAACGACTCCCCACCATGCTCGGGAACCGCTCACCTCCACGCTCGAGCCCACCACGCTGGGAACCGTTGCGCCCCCCGCCTTCCCCCTTCTCACCGTCGGTCGCCCCGCCCCGCCCGCACCGGTCGCCTCCCGTCGCTCAGCGCCGCCGGTCAGCAGGCTCCGCACCCGCTGCTAGCCCCCGCCTCGCCCGCTCAGCGCCGCCACTGCCCGCCTCCCACTGCCCAGCGCCGCTACTCGAGGATGCTTTGCCGGCTTCCCGTAGTTGCCATCAGCGTCAATCTTGGAGGGAACGAGTGCCTCTTGGCTCCCATCTGCCTCGCCTTCGCGACCGCGGTCCTCCGCTCGGCTCGCCCTCCGTCGTCGGTCATCGATCCTCTCCTCGGGCACCGCCCCGCCATTCCTCTTTTGCTTCCTCGCGAGTGTGAGCAGCCCCCTCGCCGGTCCTCCTCTTCTGCGCCAAGAAGGCGGGAGAGCGTGAGCATCCCGCCGCCGCTGCCCGCCAGCCTTCCTCTGCTGCCCCACAGAAGGACGTGAGCGCGGGGTGGCGGCGTCCTTTGAAATCCTTTAATTGGGTTACTGAGATTTAGTATTTCTAATCTTCTTCAGTTTTCTGAATAATCGATTGCTGAGATCTTGATCTTGATGTTGCATTTTTCTTGTTTTATTTAAGATTGGTTTTAGATGTAGAGCTGAGTTCATTTTGGATGCGAATGTTGGTTTTAAAATTACTCAATGGTTCATTGCAAAATGGTTTTGGCTGTTGGTGCAGGGAAGCTTTGCATCAATGCTAGACCCCCGTTCAAGGTCATGTTCATCCCGGAAGAGCGGAGGCAGATTGTGTTATTTGCACAAGGTATACACAGTATACGTCTCTAACATCATGTCAAGAGAAAAACTTCTGTTGTTTTGTGAAAGTACAGTCATATGTCTTATAATATTGTCTTCCGCTCGTTGGTGCGGAAATGCCAATTTTATGCCATCGAGATCATCGACCTTCCGATGGCTCTGGAGAAAGACACCACCTATTGCTTGTCTGAACTTGTGTTGTTCGTTGTTTGTAGGTTTCCCAATCTCTCCTGAAGCTTATCCTTTTTGATAGAATTGATCAATTTGCCTGTCTTAAGGTCTGCTTAGATATGCGGCCTTGTTGGAACAAATGGTGTTGGAAAATCCACATCACTTAAAGTCTTAACTGGCAAGCTGAAACCTAATGTGGGATGATTCAAATTATATATTCTAAAAAAAGATATTCCCTATATTGTGACCTGCTCAAGATAGTCTTATTTAGCTTTGCACTATTTTTTTGTGCAGAATCCAACTCATTGGCAATAGATCATTGCATACTTCTAGGGTTCTGAGCTTCAGAATTATTTTACATGTATATTGGGGGACCTGAAGGTAATGTATTGCTACCTTACATA